AAAATAAACATGAGAAATTTTTCAAACAGGTAAAAATGGAACATAAACAATTTTCAAAAATAAGTATCGTAACAAAAATAAACATTAGAACATCAGTAACAAACATTTCAAACAGATAAATAAACAATTATGTACAAGTATTTACAAAAGTTCTTTTTGACCGCTCTGCATACGTATCGGGACGTCTGGGTTTACAAAGGTAGTCGACGGTCGCATATGCAGGACGGAGTTATCAAAAGCAGTTTAATCAGAGTCCGTAAAGTCGTCGCACTCGCGCACAGACGGCACTAAAGTCGTTCCGCGGCACTCGCGATCGTCACTGTCCGCGCACTGCACCCGCGATGTCGTCGCACTGGCGTTGCTGGGGCCGGGCTCCGCTATCTCGGTGTCGGATGCCGGGCTGGTCGCTGCGACGGCGTTGCTGGCTGGATCGGCGTTGGTCGTCGTTAGGGATCGAATGAAAATGCGAGACCGGCGTTTACGTGGCCGCTCGCTGACCTGCGACGGCGGTGGATGGCTGGGCTGCTGGTCTCGTTGTGGCTGGAGTTGAGCTGGCGTAGTGTGGTGGCTCGTGCTCGCTTGCGTTCGAACGTCAGCCTGGGCATCGGCTGTGGCAGACTGACTGAGGGTGTCGTCGACAAGACGAGGCAATGGACTTTCTGTCGTACTAGGGGCCTCCCTAGCGTGGTCGACGTCGTCTGGCGGACCGCCGTCTGGCTCTGGAGGATCCTCTGGGTCGGCTTCGTATAGGTCCGCACGCGGCGGCGGCGGCGTGCGAATGTCATCAACGTGTATCGGCTGGGCATTGCCGTTTTGGTCTACCATGTAGACGCCTTCGGCGAGGACTTCCTTGACAGGATATGGCCCTGACCATTTCGGGGCGATGTGTGGGTTACCAGGCCGGGTTTTGGTACGCACCAGATCGCCTCGGTGATACTGGCGCGGGGCTAGTCGTGGTTCGGGGAAGAGGTTCCTTTGGAAGACTTCTTGTCTGCGGCGCGCCCTGGCGACGCGTTCATCTCGGGGTTGGGGCTGCGGTCTCGCAGCGGCCGGAATGGCCCATTCGCCTGGTCGTCGTATGGCTTGCCCAAATAACAGTTCGGCGGGTGACGTACCCGTCGCGGCGTTGGTCCTGGTTCTTAAGGCGAAGAGAGCCTCAGGTAACGCCTCTTACCATTGGTGGGGTCGCTCTAGGACTAAGGCGCGGATGGACTTTTTTAGTTCTTGGATTCTTCTCTCGACCGGGTTGGCCTGTTGATGGTAGATAGCCGATGTGTAACCTTGTATATGTTTTTCGGCGAGGTAGGTTGTCCATCGTATGGATTGGTAGAGTCGTGCTGCATCGGTGATGATGGACTCGGGGTAGCCGTAGGGGGTGAACGTTTCCTCCATAAAACTAATAAGGTCTCGGGCTTTCGTAGCGGCAGTCGGCTTGGCATCTACCCATTTTGTAAAAGTATCCATAATAACAATAACGTATCGGCTTTGACGCGGTGCTCCTTCGTAGGGTCCTAGAACATCTAGACTGACCACCCGCCACGGCTCGGTCGGGGCCCGTGGTCTCAGCGGTGCTTTCGCTTGGGGAGGCCCGATCTTCACAGCCGCGCAGGTAGTGCAACTTTTTACCCACTCGGTGGCGTCGCGGATTAACTTGGGCCACCAATACCGTTGTCGAATCGCTGTGATGGTTTCATCCCGTCCGGGATGCGCAGCGTGGTGGCTGTCGTGGAGCTCCTCGAGTATTTGGCGGCGAAGTTGTTTAGGGATGTATAACAGAAGTCGGTCCGGGGTTCTTTTCCAAATGCAATCTTCGACAAGCGCGTATTCATCCACAAGACGCTGTTCATCGTGGTTAGCTGGGCCCTCGCGTGCCAAACGCTGCAGGCGCGCTTTATCTTGGGCACAGCTATCGTCGTCTCCGTTCGTTAATCGCGTTCAGTGTTGGATGGAGGTTCTCGTCCTCGAATGGTTGGTCTTCATCGGGGTCGCGTGCTGGATTCCGGGACAGGTAGTCCGGCAATTCATTACGATGTCCAGGACATGAATAACGGTGAACTGGTGTGTTTGTAGCATCAGGGCCCATCGTGTGAGTTTCGCCCGTTCGTCCTGATATTTGCGAAGCCATAGCAGCGACCTGTTATCTGTGTACAAGGTAAACGGCCTGTCCTGCAGGAACATTCGATATTTACGGATTGCCCACACGGCGGCTAGCACTTCCTGTTCATTTATGTGATAGCGCCTTTCTTTGGCCGTAAATTTCGCAGATGCATAAGCTATCACACGCCGTCGTCCCTCTTCGTCTTGAAACAGTACTGCAGCCATACCCAGGCTGCTTGCGTCGGTCTGGAGGCAAAACGGGCGACGCGGGTCTGGCGGCTGAGTTCCAATGGCAATTTTTCGTCGAGGTAATTACGTGGCCTAGGTAGTTTATCTGGTTAGTTACGAGGCGGCATTTCTCCGCTGCGCAGCGAAGACCATGTATAGCTAGCCGTTCCAGGACCTTTTCTAGGTGTTGTTGGTGTTCCTGATGGTTATCCGAGTAAATCACTAGGTCGTCAAGGTAAACCTTGACGAACCTATGTACGTACCCTTCTAACACATTGACCATTAATTTCTGGAAGGTGCCCGGAGCCCCAGTTAGGCCGAAGGGCATTACCAAAAATTCATAGGTGGCCCCGTCCGGTGTACTGAAAGCTGTATATTTCCTCGACTCCTCTGATAGCGGCACCTGCCAATATCCGCTACGTAAATCGAGGGTGGTGAACACCCTCGCGGTTCCGAGCTCCATCAGAGTGTCGGGAATCGGTGGAAGTTGGCTGACTTCCGCATGGGTTCGTTCGTTGAGTAATCTGTAATCAACGCAGAACCGTTGGGACCCATCTTTCTTCTTGACAATGACAATCGGACTGTTATAGTCAGAGGTGCCCTTCTGTAACATAGTAGCGACCTCCTCGTTAATAATCTTCTTCCTTTCTTCCGAACAACGATAATTGCGGGCTCGTACCGGTGTAATATCCTTTAAAATAATTTGGTGCTGGGTGGTAAGGGTCATGGTCGGTTGATCGACCTCGGCGAAAACTTGTCCATGCCGCCGTAAAATTTCCTCGTACGCCTGTCGAGCCGGCTCCCCCAGGTGTTCGACTAGCTGGAGCGGCGGCGGTATGGGTATGCCAATACGCCGTCAGGCGTGGTTTCTTACCTAAATGTACACAACGGCGACCAGTGTCGATTACGGCCTCTTGGTCGCTTAACCAGGGTTGTCCTAGGATCAACTCCTCGCGTAAATCAGGTACTACCAAGCAGGCCACTTGGTATTCGGTTTCTTGGATATTGACGCGCAAGGTAATCTCCCCCCAGGTAACGGTATCCGTTGCCTCGCAAGCCAGGTATATTTATTTGTGTACCAACTCCGCTCGTTGTGTCGACCAGTCCAGCCCTGACGAAATTCCGGTTGGCACCCGTATCGACGAGTGCGTCGACGCGCTTGCCACCCACGGAGATCGTGATCCGGGGTAACAAATGCGCGCCGTATTCCCCAGCTTGATTAATGACTTCGCCTAATGCTGGGTGGACGTGGACGGAGCCGGCCGCTCGCGTCGCTCGTCCCCCTGCTGTTGGTTGTTGGGTCTCTCGCTGAGCCGGGGGCCTGGGTTTTGCGAGGGCACCCCGGCCCTCACCCAGTTTCCCTGCCTCGCTGGACAGTCCCGATTAAAGTGCTGGCCGCGACAGAATCTGCACGGTGACGGTACTTGATTGGTTGGTGGCGGATTCCAGCGTGGTGTGACTCCCTCCGCTAGGTCCCGCTGAATCTGAGCCACCACCTCGACCATCTGTTGGGCGTCCTCGAAACGGATTCCTCTAGTGACCGCCCGAGTCTGGGGTGGTAGTAGCTCGCGTATGATTTCTAATTTCTCAGCGTCGGGTGTCTCGGGTGCCAGTCTCTTAAATAAATGCCATTTGTATGTTATGAACGCGTAGGCGGTTTCGTCCGGTCGCTGAGGTTGCCCATATAATTGTTTTAACAGCGTAGTCCTGACGATAGTAGAGCTGAATCGCGCCCGGAACTGCCACTTGAACGGCTCCCATTCCATACCCGGCGTATAAATCTGTTCAAACCAGGTATAGGCTTCTTTGGTCAACGTCCTCCGGATTACGAAGGCCCTTGCGGCTGGTGCTATGCGTTTTTGTTGGAACCATAGCTCTAAGGAATTAATATATTCCTCCGGATCTTCCGTGGGATTTCCCGAAAATTCAAACGTCGGTTCTTCGCGGACATCGACGGCTCGCAGCGCCGCGACCTGGCGCGTGAGTTCACTCAGCGCTTCTAGCATCGCGACGTTCGTAGTAGCTTGCCATGCGACCGCGTCATTCGTGTTTGCCGTCACGGTGGTGGCCTCTGCCGCCGCCGAGTCAGCCATTGTTATACGTGTTTGTTGCGTTTCGTCCTCCTGACGAATTGTGCTAGATTGTCGTGCCGGTGTTTCATCTAGCGTAAAGTCCCACATTCGTGTTTGTTCGGCTTCGCGGGATCGTAGATACACGTCCGTGTTCTCGGCCCCACGCCGTTGGGCGCCATGTCTTCTTCTCAACCCCTCCACCGAAATCGCGATGAATGGATTGTCAGAATCCCTCGCTGCTTCCATAGTCTACCTCGAAACGTTATCGAATTCTTTTTAATGTTATCGAATTCTTTTTAGGTTTGAGTGTGTGTTACTTGTATGTATGTGTGAGTGTGTTAGCTTGTGGCCTAGGGCTCTTTTCAACCAGAGTTGGCCTGCCGGCTCTTTTGTCTTTAGGCTTTTTTCTGGGATTAGTCTTTTTCCCTCGAACTCACTTGTCACTATGTGTTCTTCTATTATTTGTTTTTTTGTAAAAGGATCTCTCTTTTTCCTTTTATAATTTCTGTTTTTTTTTTATAATTTATTTCCTTTATCTTTTTATTTTTTTTAATGTCAATGTTCTAGGAAAGGTTGGTTGAATAAAAGATGCAAATATTGTAAATGCAGATAAACGTGCGCAAAGGTTTTTGTGAGTGTAGAGCGGCTTCGTACAGTGCGAAGGCCGGCGAACAAGTGAGCTCTGGAGTTCTAGCTCCCCCGCCTTTTATATGTTCCAGCGAGGTAGAGCTAGGCTCCGCCCACCAGCGCAATTTGGTGCGCTCCGATGACAACGCTGTCGAGGAATATGATCCATGGGATCGGTAACGACGGCATGGGCCCTCGGTGGAGACCTCGGAAGTACGAATCGAGCTCCACGTTGGGCGCCATGTCGCGATATATGACCGTTAGTGCCTAATGTTTGAGAATTGTGCGGGGAATTAGCAACATGAGCTCGCCGCGAAGACGTCGAAGCAGGACTTCGAGCCCCACGTCGAGCGCCATGTCGCGGAATATGATCTGAATGCGGTGTTTGGTCGGCATGGGTCCTCAGTGGAGACATCGGGAGTTCTAATCGAGCTCCACGTTGGAAACCATGTCGCAACCTGTGATTTGGGATGTCAGTTCCCTTGACCGGGTTCCGCGGCAGAAACGTACGGAGTTCACGGGGATCATCGCTATCGACGCCCGGTCGCACTATATTCTCTGACGACTGGAATCTGTGGTGGATATGACCTACAGACGTGGTGTCTAGGACACGAGCTCGCGGGGGAGATCTCGACGAAGAAGGTCGAGCTCCGCGTTGAGCGTCGTGTCGGGTTAGACTTTCTTGATATGGACCACTTAGGCGATGATCGTATGTTCGGGGGAAATCATGAGAATGGACGGGCGACGTACAAGTATTGTTTTGATAAAAAAGGCCGGCTTCGTCACCTATGACGTAGTCGGCTAAGGGGTTTTCGCTTACTATGGCACCCGAACGCGATGCGCATTGCTCCCGCTGGATACCACTTCGTAAAAAAGCTGAATGAACTGTAGCGTCGTCACCGACGGCTAGCTCACGTTCCGAAACACCCGACATCGGAAGTAGGCCGCTATCGGGGCCAGACCGTGAACCGTGGTTGGACTCATGGGATTCCCCGGACCCTACCAGTTGGTACGTAGGTTGAACCTCGTCCCGAGTATCTGCGGGTAACCCACTTCGTGGTAACTCTTGGGTGCTACTCGGATCCGTGAGTGCGTCGTGAGGGGTGGCCGAGGTGGTGTCAATAACCCGCGTAGCAGCGGACCACAACGCGTACGGCGCTGTGGCTGCGCCGTGCCGCGTACTTCCGCGAGCCGCCACCTTCGGTCCCTCAGACTCTTCACGGAGCATCGATATAGCGTTGGCGAAAGAGGCCATTTCCTCGTTTACCCCTAATGTCGGGAGATCTTTCGCCGGCAAACAGGTGTGAGGGCAGTCCTTATGACCGCTGGTCTCTCCGATTAGGGACGAGGTCTCGTCCAGCTCAGTCTTGATCATATTCACACGATCTAATTTATTATTCGTAGTGTTACCTTCGAGGGCACTAATCCTCGTAGCACTGGATATCGAAGTCGCGTCGCAGGGGTTCATCTTCCCCGTACGACAATGTCGGAGCAAGCTCTTTTGCTCCGAAAGTCTTGTAGACGTCTTGTAGTAAGCACTGACTCTACTATTAAATGTGGGTCTCTCGAGGGAGCCCTAGAAGTAAGGATAACTTCTTTACTAAATTTGGAAGTACGCCGCCACAATAACGTGCGTACTATTGCTTTGTGCCCGTGGGTCACAAAGTAAATGCCTCGTAGGGGTTTGACGAGGAAGGTTGCCTCGACGAGTGACCGCCTAGAAGTTTGACGAGGAAGATTGCCTCGGATTTGCAGATCTCAATGGAGTCTGAATTGTAGGTCTCGTAGGAGCCTATGTGTGTACTTTGTACCGAGGTGCGGGTCTCTCGATGGAGCCGGCACAGTCGGAATCAAAGTCTTCGTCGGAGGGTCGCAAGCCTCGGACGGTATGCAGGTCTCTGGAGGAGCCTGAAAGTATCGCTGTTTCGTCGCAGGGGGCGATCGAACAGGATCTTCGCCTCAGGTTGGGCTACCTCGGGCGGGACGCAGGTCTCTGGAGGAGCCTGGAGTATCGCTGTGTCGATGCGAATGGCTATCGCACAGGATCTTCGTCGGAGGTGGTCAGTCTCGGACGGTTTCGCAGGTCGCAAGTGGATCCTGGAGTTTACCGCTGTTTCGATGCAGGGGGCTATCGAACAGGGTCTTCACCTCAGGCTAGGCTACCTCGGGTGGTTGTCTCGTTAAGCGAGTAGTGGTTGCAAAGCACTATCAATATCACGTCGAGGAATGGCAGCCTCGACGGAAGCCTCGTGAAGCGAGCCTGTGAGCTTGAGCTCCAAAGTTCTTGAGCTTGATGACAGGGTTTTTTCAATCAAACCGTGGAAGATATGTTAAAAGTATATATTGAATAAAATTAATAAACAACAAAGATTCACAATTAACATATACAAGTTATTTACCATGAATAAGATTTGTTACAATTCGCTCTGTATCGCTTTCCGTCTCATGTACTCCCACTGAAGTACTGTAAACGTCAAAAGTAGACGTTCGATCACTTTTGTGGGATTTCCATACTTTTGGCGGACCGGGCCTTGAATTGTCCGCCAAAATCTCGAACCAAAATCATCCATCGTCCCCATCAACGCCGGGACTCGTTCCCCTCTGGCCTCTACGGATTGTCGATGTCGGCGTCGGGGATTTTGGAGTTTTTTCCCGGTTTGGGAAAAACTCTACCCGCGGTCTCGGCTTAGGCTGCCGAGCATCGCATCCAACCGCCAGAGCGGTGGAACCTTCGGAAGACGGTCCTTTCGGCCCAAAGACGGGGAAATTGGAAACATCGGTGAAATTTTCCCCGTCTTCGTAAAAGGGCTTACGGAGGTCTTATTTCTTGATGGATTCATTTGAAATTTTGTCTGTTGATACACGGCATGACATAGTGCCGTGGTTGGAGGGTTCGACCGAGATCGCGCGGATACTTTCGGCGGCAGCTCTAAAGGCGTGAAAACCTATTATGGCTTAGCTGGCCGTTAGTAGTCGGGCGATTCGGTTCGAATTTGGATATGACAACCACCTAGCGATACTCTAGTGTGGTTGGAGGGTTCGGCCGAGATCGAATGAGCGGAACGGCTGAAAACGCGGAAAACGTGAAATCCGCGTTTCCCCGTATAACGGCGTTTTGGCTCATCCGATTCGGACGAAAATTTAGTAAGATAATGCTAGCGACTTGAGGAGTGCTGCATTAAATTTTGACACCGATCGCTCAATAACTTTTGGAGTTATTGGCGATAGCGTCCTTGACCAATTCAAAAGGGTGGTGAAATTTCTAATGGCCATTTCCAAATGTCATCGTGAAGCGTCCCGGGGTTCGACTGCAGGTTGCGAGAGCAGCGGCAGTGGTCACTGCGCGCCGGGATGGCAGACCCAGGCGAGATCGGTCGCGATGCGGGTGACACTGGAAAGGTCGGTGAAATTGGTCTTTAACGCTCTGGGAGCGCTATCGCCGTGAGGATCGATGTCTGAAGACTCTTATGGAGGCTTTTTCATTCTGCCCGGCCGACGGCGATTGATTTCGCAACCGTGGCGGGTTTTTGGTTTGGATTGGAAAGGTAGTCGAATATGATTGTTGTTCCAATTCAACGGTCTCCGGCATATCCGTAGGTACAAGATTATGACTTCTATGAATATACGGGGTGTTCTGAAATCCTGAAGCTCGCTCGAAGGGTGGAATACGACAAAGTTTAATACATATGTACGTATTGTGGACTCTTTTCAGTTATAGTTAACCTATGTATTGGATAAGTAATATTTATACTACGAGTGTTGTACCCATGACCGACATTATGAATCATAAACATCTCTCTGTTTTTTACTACATATACTAGACATTCATAAACAAAAAATAACCTTTTTTGTTTAAATAAACCTCTACATGTTTGACTATAATCTAATTTGTATATTATTCGTAAATCGCTTTTTTGTAACACAAATATATTTTGGATATTGCTACTCCCCCAAAAATTATTCCTGACCTCATACTTGCTTAAAAATTGGAAAAATATATCATACGCAATGAGCTTTCATTCAAATACTTGGCAATGATTCTGAAACTGTAACATATTTTGTTCAATTTGCTACATAAATTATCAATATGTGGTGACCAGTCCAAATATTCACTAATAATTCACCTAAGAATTTTGTATGGGTATTGTATTTCAAGTGACCATCTTGCATTTATAATTTATCTGGAGTTTCTATATTACTTTGTCAAGTTCTAAATAAAATAATATTTGTTTTCTCCACATTTAATTTTTATTAAATGGCCTTTTGACCATTATTTGAGAACCATTGCTTTGCATTAAGCAATAAGGTATTACTTAGATCAGTTACTTCCGGAAAATTTCTACCAGTAATAAGTAAATTTGTATCATCTGCATAATTTGTAATATAATAATTTTTTACAATTATACTAATTAAGTCATTAAGATAAACTATGAACAAAATTGGCCCAGTAATACTGCCCTGAGGAATCCCGATGTTTTTATTTCTAATACTTGATTTTACTATTCTCCCATTATCAGATATTTGGACTCTCTGTTTCCGATTTGATAAATATGATAAACCAATTCAATGTATTCCCGTGTATTCCATACTTTTCTAACTTTTCCACTAGATAAGAATAATTTAGGAATCATATGCTTTTGAAAGATCAAGAAATATTCCCAACGATAATTCATTATTTTCAAAAGATTCCAAAATTTTTTATGTAAATTGATATACAGGGTGTCTCATAATTAGCTGCCAACCCTGAACAGACCGATTCTATGATCAAAACTAAGTAAAAAAGTTCATATGAACATGTGTCCGGAAATGCTTCCCAAGGGCACAGGGACCCATTGAAGAGGGAGGAATGGAAATCATTTTTTTGCAATATCTCTCAATCGCGTTGTGATAAATGAATGAAATTTGGTATACACAGCTAAATTTTGATGAGCAATTTGATGGACTAATCCATTTATTTCCACAAGGTCCATTGGGGTGGGTACGGGGGGGCCCTTGGTACTTTGCGTGTGTAACTTTTTCATCTTTGACTTTTTAACAAATTGGACAGCAAATTCCGTTTTCCCGAACTGTTTTACGTTAAAAAGGTACTCTTGTTTCAAATCGTTATCTTTAACGGTTTCTGAGAAAATCGCTCTTGAATTAATCCCACTTTGGTCAATTTCATAGTAATTTAAAC